ATAATTTGTTTAACCAGATGCCTATTAGGGGGCTGAGTTGGCCCTAATCTTTTCCTATTACAAACCATACAGCAATGAATAACCTTGCAGGCTGTCGTTTTCTACCTGCACAATTATACCCGTAGAATGAATTTCCCCAAGTGGAATTACTGGCTCAAAGTGGGTATATATTTGCAATTTTGATGAATTTTACCAAATTGCTCTCCATGGAGTTGAGCCAATAGACACTGGCACCCACAATGTATGAGAACACATTATCCCTCAGCATTGCCAATAAATTGTCTTATTAAATTTCTGGATTTTTACCAATCCAATCGGTGGAAAATGGCACCCCACACAGTTTACATTTTCACCTGTCTTAGTAACAGATTATCTTTTCAGATGCTTAATAGTCATTTGTATTTCCTTTGCCCTATTTTAAACTTTTTTATTGAAGTGTAGTTGACTTACAATGTTAGTTTCAGGTGTACAGCAAAATTATTCAGTTATATACATACATACATATATATATATTTTTCTCTTTTCAGATTCTTTTCCATTCTATGTTATTATATGAAATTGAGTATAGTTCCTTGTGCTATACAGTAGGTCCTTGTTGTTTAGCTATTTTATGTATAGTAATGTGTGTCTGTTAATCCCCAACCCCTAATTTATCCCTCCCCACCCTTTCCCCTTTGGTACCCATAGTTTATTTTCTATGTCTATGGGTCTGTTTTTGGTTTATAAATAGAATTTGTATCTTTTTTTAGATTCCACATATAAATGATATCATATGGCATTTGTCTTTTTCTGTCTGATTTACTTCACTCAATACGATCATCGGTAGGTCCATCCATGTTGCTGCAAATGGCATATTTCATTCTTTTTTATGGCTGAGTAATAGTCCATTTTGTGTGTGTGTGTCTTCTCTTTGGCCCTATTTTTTGGAAATTCTTTTGTTGTTCTGTTATTGATTTCTAGAAGCACTTTATTAGGCAGACTGAGTCTTTGAGATATGAATTGCAAACTTTTTTTTTTGGCTTGTCCTTTGTCTCTGACTTGGCTTTAAATATTTTTACTGTTCAGAAATTTTATGAGTGCATGAGAAAAAGCAATCTTATCAATTTTTAAAAATGTCTTCCTGGGGCAATGGGTGAGCTCAGTGGTACAGTGCACTGTTAGCATGCACGAGGTCCTGGATTCAACCCCCAGTATCTCCATTAAAACATAAATAAATAAAAATAAAATAAAATATTTTAAAAAATGTCTTCAAGGTTTTAAGGCACCAAAAATCCTTCCACATTAAAAGCTAAGATTCTCCTTTTTTTTCCTTGCAGAACATTTATGTTTTATGTTCATGCTTGGTTATTTGATTCAACTTTTAACATCTTAATGGACCAGTTGCATCATTTCCCTAACTAATGATTTATTGTAACAGTGACTGACGTTCTGGAAACAACCTAAATGTTCCAACATTAGGGAACAGCCATCGAGTGCAACACACTTTCAAGTTGCAAACTATTTCAAGGAAGTACTTAGTGACCTGGGGAAAATATCAGGATGTGTTAAATGAGAAACCTGAACTGTCTCCAGTAGCATTCCAATGTTTCTTTTTAAACTTGTTTATGAGAAAACAGGCTGGCGAGAAATGCAGAAATGGGCTCATAATCCCAGGCAGGGCTTCTGTGGACACATTCGTCCGTTCATTAAGATACTGGTTGATGCTCATATCACAAAACAGAGACAGCCATGTCTCTTTTACCGGCAGTGCCTGTCACCACCGGTGACATTACCTTCCCGAAAAATCACACTTGAATCTGCAAAAATCTCTAGAATAAACAAAATCCAAAATAGTACTAATGAGTCACCTGTGACTGTCAAGCATTTGAAAACTGGCCACTCCAAGTTGACATGTCCCTAAGTGTAAACAACACACCAGATTTGGAAGACTTGGTTAAAAAAAAAAAGAGTGTAAAATAGCTAAGTTTTTAATATTCATTGCATGTTTAAATATGTAAATTTTGGATGTGTTGGATTAAATTTAAACGATTCAAATATTTTATTTTATTTTTTAAAATGGAAGTACTGGGGATCAAACCCAGGACCTCATGCATGCTAAGCATGCGCTCTACCACTGAGCTGTGCTCTCCCCTCAAATGATTAAAATAAATGTCATCTCCTTTGTTTTAGTTTTTAAAGTGGCTAGTAGAAAAATTTAAATTACAGATGTGATTTGTATTTGTGGCTCACATTATATTTTTATTAGACAGCATTGGTCTAGATCTAGGCAGTAATTTTTACAAAATTCAGATGACAGGGGAGCATCTTCAATGACATCACAGGGGTACAGTCAGCTAGATCCAAACTGTGAGAGACGCTAGAGGACAAAAAAATTTTTTTTTAACAAATAAATTACAACAACAACAACAAAAATATGATGAGAGAATTTTTAAATAAAAGAGATTTTAAAATATTTCAACCAAATGCAGCCAAATGGATATTTGGGGCTCCTGATTCAAACCATCTCTAAAATAATAAAACAAAAGATAACAAAACAAATAATAATGTTTATGAGACAATTACAGATTTGAACACTTATTGGACATTTGAAGATATTAAGTTTTTAAAGTGCTATTATGACTTTTTTAAAAATTTGCAGATGAGTTTATTCAGGAGCCCATGGGAAAATTTTTTGAGAGAAATTAAAGACTGAGATAAATAGAGTGATATCCTATGTTCATGGATTAGAAGGCCTGACATTGTAAAAATGACAGTTCTTTCTAAAGTTGTTTGTAGATTTAGTGCAATCCCAATAAAAATTTTCATACTTTTCTATACATTAAAAAACTGATACTAACATTTATATGGAAATGCAGAGTTAAGCAAAGCCAAAGCACTCTTCTTTTTTCAATTAAAGTATAGTTGATGTACAATATTATATGGGTTACAGATGTACAATATAGTGATTCACAGTTTTTAAAGGTTATATTTCATTTATAGTTATTATAAAATATTGGCTATGTTCCGTGTGTTGTGCAGTATATCCTTGTAACTTATTTCATCATAATGGTTTGTATCTCTTAATCTCCCATTCCCTGCATTGCCCCTCCCTCCGTCCCTCTCCCAACTGAAACCACTAGTTTGTTCTTTATATCTGTGAGTTGTTATATTCACTAGTTTGTTGTGTTTTTTAGGTTCCCCATGTAAGTGGTATCATATGGTATTTGTCTTTCTCTGTCTGACTTATTTCACTTAGCATTAATACCCTCCAAGCCCATCCATTACTGTTGCAAATGGCAAAATTTCATTCCTTTTTTATGGCTGAGATATAATGAGCATTTTTTAAAAGAAATGGTCCTTATCTCTTAGAATGCATACTCAAATATTTACAGATGATGGAGCATCTGGGATTTGCTTCCAAATAATCCAGTTGGGGAGGAAGTGGGAGCCCAGGAGGAGGTGAAACAAGGTTGAGACGATAATTGGTGTTCAGGTTATATAAACTGCTTTTTTTTTCATTGTGGGAAAACATACATCATATAAAATTCACCATCTTTACTACTTTTAAGTCTATAGTTTAGTATCATTAAGTACACTTCTCTACATTTTTGGTTTAAAATTCTCCAAGATGAAAGGTTAAAACACAATCTTTGAAGAAGCAAATAGAGAGCCAAGTAAACTATGTTGGTAGATTTCGATTTTCTTTAAACTGAAGTATCGCTGATTTACAGTATTGTTAGGTTCTTGTGCACAGAACAGCGGGAGACCCAGTACTGATGGTCTGGTGCAGCGATTTCTAGTTCTCTCTTAGTTTCTTAATTTTCTGTGATGAATATGTTAATTTTTAAACATGATTTTTGCAACAGTAAGAAAAAGCTAGAAATGGCTTTCTTTTTTTTTTTTTTTTTTGCAAAAAGAAAATTCCTTCTCAAGTAATACGCGGACAAGCGCCATACCCCGGGATTTGGCCGGAGAGGCGCGCCTCCTGGTGGCGAATCAGAGAGCGGCTCGTGCGCGTCCCTTGCCGCTGTCCCGGGATCCATGGAGGGAAGGGAAGGGAAGGGCTTCTGGCTGCCGAGGGTTCCCTGTGCGCGACTGCTGAGGCCAGAGGGGCACTGGAGGTGGCCTTGAGGTCCCATGCTATAGGCTGAGCGATTCAAAGGAGGAGCCAAAGATGAGTAGCAACTTTCCTCCTCTTCCCCCCACGTCCTCCTCCTTTTAAGCCATCACATTTATTTGACAGCAATTCAGTCATTTGTCAATGAATTGAGGACCGATTGTGTGCCAGGCCCCGTTCAAAGCACTGGACAAAGGCCCTTGCCCTAATGGAGGTCGCATAGTGACTGTGTGAGAGAAATCCAGTAAACAAATAAAGAAAATACATAACATGTTCCATGGTGATCAGTACTAAGCAGAAAAATAAATCCAAGAAGGGGAGACAGGAGATAGGAGGAGTGCTGGCAGTTTTTAAATAGAGTGGTCAGGAACCGTCTCATTGAGAAGAGGATGTATGAGTAGTGATATGAAGGAGGTGAAGAGGTAAGTCTGGTAGGTATCTGGAAAAAGAACATTCTCGGAAAAGGGAATAGTCAGTGCAAAGGCCCTGAGGTTCCTGAGGCAGGACTATTCCTGATGTGTTTGAGGAAGAAGGCCGGTGTGGGGGCAGGGAAGAGAGAGAAAGGGAAAAAGAAAAGAGAATAGTACCCAAGTGTGTTAATAGGTTAGCATTTGGGGGATTTGGGTTAGGAAGATACACACACACAAATATAGGTGTATATATATATACACATTTTTTTTCTGAATCTTTTGAGAATCAGTCATAGACCTGAATCCTTTTTATTTCTAAATACTTAGATTTATGTTTCAAAAAAAAAAAAGATGTTCTCTTACGGAGAGACATCTCTACTTTCTTAACTCAGAGGCTGAATAGCCCTTTGCTGCAGAGGTCTAGCCTGTATACTGTAGGATTTTTAGCATCCCTGACCTCCAACCACTAAGTGTCAGTAGCACACACACCCTTGGTTGTGATCACCAAAAATGTCTTCAGCCGTTACTTAAGGTCCCCTGGATGACAGAATTGTGCCCCTCCCCACCCCACTCCCACCCCAAACTGAGAACCATTGGTTATATTACTCCAAGACAATGATCACAAACAGGAAGTTTAATATTGATATAATATTGCTACCTGAACTACAGACTTTCAAATGTTATCAGTGGTCCAATAATGTCTTTCTTAGAAATTACTATTATTATTTTAATTTTATTTTTAGGGGGATGGTAATTAGGCTTATTTATTTATTTGTTTGTTTACTTATAATGGAGGTACTGGGGATTGAACCCAGGACCTCGTGCATGTTAAGCAGGCACTCTACCCTGCCCCTTCTTAGGAATTTTTATTTTCTGGTCTCTGGCCCAATCCAGGATCATGCATTGCAGACAGGTGTCATGCCTGGAATGTCCTTTCTCTTTCCTTGTCTTTTATGTAATTGACATTTTTGAAGGTCATAGGCCAATCATTTTGTAGAATGTCCTTGTCTGGGATATTGCATTTGTCTGGTTTTCCTCTTGATTAGATTCAGATTCAGCATCTTAAGAAGACATTCCACGGAAGGGATGATGTGTCCTTCTCCATGCATTATATCAGGAGACACACAATGTCCATTTGCCCCATTGCTGGTCATTTAAATATGATCACTTGATAAAGGCATTATTTGTTTCTCCTCTGGGAAGTTACATTTTTTTTCCTTTGTAATAAATATGTATTTTATGGACAGATACATCGAAGCTACACAAATACCCTGTTTCTCATGAAACTTTAACTTAGCACTTTCAGCATCCATTGATGATGCTTCCTTGAATCAATTGTCCTGTTTGGTTGCTTTTAATAATTGTTTTAGATTAAAAACTGAATAAGCTCAAAAGTCTGCTTTTCATGTACGTGTGAGGTGTAAAGAATAACAATGAAACATACATTCATGTAACTTTCAACCAGGCTAAGAAAGAGATAACATCAGGACAGGTGAAAACCCAGTTCCTGCCTGGGGATGGATATAAATTGTTCAAAGCTGGGGATGGTGGGGTCTTTGAATAACTAGGTGGGGAGACAGGGATGAATTCCAGAACTACTCAAGTGGTGAAACTCATGGGATATGGAACAGCTGGGTTTTGAGCCGGGAGAGGACAGTGGAAGGTGGAGGGTGAGGGTGAGGACTGGACAGAGAGAGGCTGCCCTTGGGGCTGATGAGCCCTCAGATCTGGGGGTGTAGGTGGTGAGGGGCGGGCACAGCCTCTCCAAGGCAGCTGGGCATTCCAGACTGGGGCAGGGGCTGCTCTGGAGTTTCCAGGAGGCCCTCAAAATGGCAAAGAGGCTGAAAGTGGCTTCCAAGAGGTTCATGTGCATCCTGGAGAGGCAGGAAGCCTCCCTCTCTTCTCCTCGGGCTCAAGTGTCAGCCTGGGACGGGGTGGGACAGAGAAGGGTCACATGTCCTACCATAAATGTTGTTTGGAATCCAGAAGAAAAAATCCTGAAGAGGTCTAAGATAATTGCCTCTTTCCCTCACCCACCCAATCAAAGTGCCTTCTCCCTGTTACACACCTCCATGCTGGCTGGTGAGGCTGGGACGCTCTTCCAGTGCTCCACGGAAATCTTTGGTCCACATGGAGTTCAAATTCACCTTCTGTTCTTTCATTCAGTGAACAAGTATTTATTGAGCACCTGCTGTGTGTCAAGCTTTCTTTGAGGCTCTGGAGGACCTGACAATGGGAAAGACAGACAAAAAAGTTCTTGCCCATTTGGGGCTGACATTCCAGTGAGGAAAAGACAGACCTGAATAAGAAGGTTATAAATGCTCAGGCACAAAAATAGTGCAGGCTAGGGAGGTGTCTGGAGTGGAGAAAGGAGGGAAGGCAGCCAGGGGAGCCAGCATTGTAGTAAAGATCACAGAGGGGAAGAGGCAGGGGTTGGGGATGTAGCTCAGTGGTAGAGCACATGCTTAGCATGCATGAGGTCCTAGGTTCAATCCCCCAATACCTCCATTAAAAAAGGAAAAAGAAAAAGCTTGTGAAACATGCATTGCTTGTAAACCTAAGACCAAAGGGTGCAAAACAAGGAAGAATAATGTACTTAATGACTTAATGTTCTCATGATGTAGATGCAGTACAAATATATATATGTGACCAAGAATGGGGAGAGCATATATATGCAAGAGATGTTTTTAATCTGTTTTTAGTAACATACTGATGGTACTGTTGCATTGTTATTTTGAGACCATTGTGTGAGCAATGTTGATTAAAGCAAATGAGTAATTATGAGACATTGTAATTCTGCCTTCTCCAGAACCAGGATTTTTACAGAAGAAAAAAGCAACAGATAGTTTCCTATTGCTGCTGTAACAAATGACTGCAAACTCAGTGGCTCAAAACAACATTAATAGGTTATTTTACAGACCTGGAGGTCAAAAATCCAACATGGGTCTCATCAGGCTCAAATCCAGGTGTCCTCAGCGCTGCATTCCTTCTGGAAGCTTGGGGGCTTGGTCCATTACCTGACATTTTCCTGCTCCTAGAGGCCAGTGATCCACAGCTGGTGGCCCCCCTTCCAATGAGGACAACACTCTGACCTCTGCTTCCGTTGCCACGTCTCCTCCGACTCTGACTCTCCTCCCAACCCTTATAAGCACTTTTATGATGACATTGAGCCCACCTGGATAATCCAGATTCGTCTCTCCATCTCCAGGCTCTTAATCACATCTGCAAATTCCTTTCGCCACATTGTTCTGTGAATGGGTTCCACAGATTAGCATCTTTTGGGGGGATGTTAGTCTTTCAAACACAAAGAGGTTGAGTAAAAATCATGTAGTCTGGAAACTGACCTGGAAATATCAGAATGAAGTCATAAAATATTTTATATAATAGGATATGTATATATATTATACATACATTCATAAATGTTATAATATATTACATGCATATAATATGTACAAATTATATCATGATACACAATTATATACTATATTATAGTACTGTATTATAGAGTATAGTATATAATTACATACTGTATTATAATTATCTACTGTTATATACTATATTCTAGTACTTAGTATACTGTATTATAGTACAATATATTATATGTTCTCTCTATATTATGATAAATATATATATTTCCCTTTACTTAGCTCTGTTCAAAAAAGTATAGACGTAATGACCAACTCAATAGCAAATGAGCATTCCTAGCTCCCAAATGAATATAACTTCCCATCAAAAGAAACCAGAGCTTCTTGGGGATTCTGGGTGATGCTAGGTCTGGGACAGGACATGTCCAATCTGTGCCTGGAACATCTGGTCATACAAGTCAGTCAGAGAACTGTCAGAGTTACTTCAAAAAGTTCCAAGTGGGGGTTGGGGGAGGGTATAGCTCAGTGGTAGAGCACGTGCTTAGCGTGCATGGAGTCCCAGGTTCAATCCCCAGTACCTCTATTAAAAAAAAAATTTCCACCCCCACACAACTTATTTGACTCCAAAAAGCTCAAGTCGCAAGGCAACCAGATAAATTGAATTCCAAAAGGTGACAAGCTCTCTGGAGAGAGACAGGGACACATGACCTATTTCACCTTTGGCAGAAAATGAGAGAAAAAGGGCAACTAGAAAGAAAATAGCTGAAATTTTAAAGAAGTCTTAAAGGCTAAGTCCCTGGGAGCCCTAGACACAAAGGGATTCAGCTCTTTTCCACAGATTTCCTCCAAGTTCTCAGGAGGAAGACTGGGAGCAGGTCAAAGAAATATGAAGAAGAGCCCTTCCAAACCAAAAAAAGAAAAGCCCTTCGGTGGTGGACAGGCATAAAACCCTGCTTGCTTTCTGGGACCATTCTTTACCACACAAAGCAAAAGCTGTAAGTTGCTGGCTGAGGGAAGGACCCAAATCCTTCACTGATACAAAGCAGGGGTCTGCGACTGCTGGGGGTGGGGGTGGGGGCAGGGATGTTGAGAAATAAAATAATATTATTCCTGAAAAAAAAAATTTCCAACCAGTAGAAGCTCCCACTGGCCAGGTGGGCCCACCAGAGAGGATAATGGATTGGAGCATGTTGTGTGTCAATCCGTAGGTCATAATGACTTAAAAAAAGAAGAGCCAGCCTCACTGATCACTTTCAGAGGCTTATGGGGAATTAATTCTCTATTCTGAAAAGTGGTCTGTAAAGAGAAAATCAGGCACTTCTATTTGCACGTGCCATTGAATGACCAAATGGGACATAGGGGAAGTACCAGGCAAAGGAAGAATCCTAGCTAATAAACAAGGGAGAAATGCTAGGAAGAGGCTGTCACTATTTTGCAGCCCTCAAGTCAGTCCTCAGTGCTGCAAGCCTCAAGCAAAGAGAGACAGATTATGAGCCGGCTGGTGAAGGGATCAGCAACACCCACCATCCTGCCAAAGGAATCAAACCCTAGTCTGGCCTCAGTTCTGGAACCGACTGCCAATTTTCAGGGAAGATGAGGGACAGAGGACCATGCCGGAAGTGCAGCAGGAGGATGAGATCAACACCACCCAGGCTGAGGGAAGCGCATGAGGACAAACAGCCCGAGTTGTGCAATCGACTCACTGTAAAGGAGGGAAGGGGTGGAGAGGGAACCCATGAATTAAAAAAGACTTAGAAGACATATCATTTTCTTTTTGCAGGGGCAAGACTAAGCCACAGTGTCTAGAGACTGAAACTTGCATGATCAGCTATTCAGAGGCAGTGATTATTTAAAAAGTCACAACAGTGGTTACTTCACTGAGCAAGGAGGTGCCATGATTGGGAAGTGATGTGTGGAGGGGTTTCTGGGGTGGATGACGATGTGCTATTGTTGACCCGGGTGGACGTTATGATGATGTTCACCTCCAGCTGAGTTTCTCAAACTCAGTACCATTGACAGGCCAGATAATTCTTGGTTGTTGGTGGTGGGGGTACTGCCCTGTGCATTGCGGGATGTTTAGCAGTCCCTGGCCTCCACCCACCAGAGGCCAGTAGCAGCCCTCCCCTACTCCATCATGACAATCAACAATGTCTCCACATATTGCCAAATGTCCCCCTAGAGGCAAAGTCAACCCTGGCTGAGAACTGCCCATCCATAACTCCTTAAGTTATGTATTTGTTTTATGTGTTTTCTTGGACTTGGCTCTCTGTGTGCATTTTATTGTACAACAAAAATATTTTTTAAATTCCAGGTGTAGTTTTTATAGGGGAAACACGACAGAATTCTACAGCTTATCTGGAAGAACAGAAAAAAAGACAATGGAAAAAGCCCAGATGTCTTGCAAAAAGTGGAGCATCTGATGTTAAAATATATTCTAAATCTACAATAGTTAAAACTGACTGGCACTGGGACAAACAGACAGATGGATTGTGGGAATGCAGTTACTTGCCTCCAATGGGTGCCACTTTATCAGATGAAGTCTGCGCTGCTTCAGACACACTCTTCTGCCTGTCTCTCCATCTTCCCTCCCACCAACACAATGACCTAGTCAAAGTTCTGCAAATACAGTGCTTTCCACTTCTCTTTGTTTGCACATGTAATTTCTCTTACCTGGAGTAGCGTTCCTTAAGTGTCACCCCTGTAGGCTGCCTCCGTGGACCCTCCAGGTCGATAATTTGCACCCTTCCTTCTCCTCCCATAGACTCCAGCTCCCCCCTTTCACCCCGTGCCATAAACCTTAGCTTGAAAGTCTATCTCCTCCTCTCAGCTTTGAGGTCCAGGATGGCAGGGATTTCCCCTCAAGGATCTGCACAGTGCCTGGCATGCAGTAGGTACTCAATTAATGCTAAATTAATTATAAAAAAATCTGCAGAGTCATTTGAGGTCACAATATATCAAAATGGGTTAAAGAGTTCAATGTAATTTTCTTCCCTTTTAAATTTCAAATCATTATTTCAATAAACGTTTATTAAGTACCTGCTGTGTGCCCAGGGCGCTGGATAAAGCAGTGACCAAAATCAATCGGTCCCCTGTCTTTATGGGGAGACAGATGGTAAACAGTAAATAAATAAATAATAGAGATTCCTGTTTTTTGTTTTCTGTTTTTCTTTTCCAGACTGAAAATAGCTATTAGGTGCATAAAACAGAGTGACTGGC